TACGCCGACGTAAAAACGGCCGGCGGAACGTATTCGAAATAACCGCGGAATGTCCATATATTCCGGCGGAACGTTAAACGTTTACGCGGCAGACGTTTAACGCGCATTGACCACATGGTTCGCCTTTACGTTGTCAACAGTCGATCCGACGTGGTTCGCGCTGCCGGTCGTTATCGCTTCTCTCCTCTGCTCGGAAGCTACATGCGCGCGATATTTTCACAACGCTGTTTCCGTGCATTGTAGACACGATTGGAAATTATGTCCATGCACTTCCCATGTATTTAATTACACCCGTATTGAATGCTCGAATGGAATCTAAGTAAGTACTCTGATACAATCTAAGTTCTCAACATTATTTGGATTTGCAGACTTTATAATCTCTTATTCTCGTTCCCCATTTAGATGCCTTTCATTCAATATCCCGCTTGTTCCTTTTCAGATTTCTATTTCGACATGGAATGATTATTGTCACATTGGTGCGCGGTAAACGTTTCCGCTTACATTCGTTACAAAACGAGAAGAGCCAGCAAAGATTGATCGCAAGTAGAGGAAGTGGTGGAGAGGGACGATCGGGGGAGCAGATTGGTGGTTTATCGAAGGGCAATCTAGCGATGAGGAGTGGGCGGGGAGGAAGGATAGGACGCGAAGGGCTGATGGACCAGATCGAAGAACGCGAGTTGCATTTCAATGTGACCAACGCGTACGTAAAAGCGTTTCGTGGATTCCACGAGGGTAAAAACCCTCTCAATGGCGATCGTCGGCGAGGAAGGGCCTCAAAGGCGGACGGTGTTTTCGCGATAGCAAGCGAGTCTTGTGGAATGCTTGGATCATCGCGTTGACTTTTCGGCTCCGGGCACGATCAAAAGTTATTTGGAATCCACGGATCTAGAATGATTTATGATATTTAGAATGTAGAAAATAGAATCTTCTGTGGTATAATTTGTGTGTATAGTGGTCTGCAGCATTGAAAGTCCGAAATAAAAACCTAAACTGTTATCTTGATCTCAAATCAAATCTTTATCAATATATAAAATAATTGATATGACGATTAGAATTACTATAAAAAAGTGCTTGTCGTCGTATTGAATAAAATAATCGCATAATAAAGTTTTAAAATAAATATTAAATTATTTTATTTTATTAATTTCTAAGTGAGAATTTTATACCGGTAAGATACTGGCCCGGTACTAATTTTTAGTACTGAGTACCGATGCAATACTGGATACCAGTACTGATACAGTACTAATGGAATACTGGGATGATAGCAATGGGCCGAGACCTAATTGAGATACAATACTACTATATACATATATACGATACGAAATTATATTATCAAACAGTACCAAAAATCAGTAAAAAATCGATACCGATTCCGAATATTGCAATAGTACCAAATATTAATATTGATTCCCTGTATTGCAACAGTATCAAATACCGATACTAATTTTGAATACTATAACAGTATTTATGCTATACCAAATATCAATATCAATTCTTAATATTGCAATGGTACCGTTTCGATATTGACACTCGATGCATTACTTTTGATAAAAAGTAAATTTTAGTATAGATTTTAATACCGAAGAGTACCGAAGAATACCGAAAAGCTACTGGCAGTACTGTCGCTGGTAGCTTTTACGTGGGTAATAAATTGCGTTGAAAATAAATCGCTTCATTTGATAGAAAAGTGGCACAAATAGAAAATTAGCATTTTTGAGATAATAAAAGGAAATTGAGTCTAAAGATATAATATATTATATATTTTATATATATTTTTATGGAAAAATAATATATTAAAAGAATATAACTCACTGCTTATAAGGAAAGTATCACAACTCTGTTAAGGGATGAAATTTACACTATACTAAGTTTGCAATGTCTGAATTTTGAAAACTCATCATGACATAATTTTAAAAAATACTTTATAATTGAAAATATTATGTGAACAGAAAGTAATAGGAAGCATATTTTCATTACGCACATTTGTTATTACCTCCTCTCCCTCCCTCCAGTTAGAACATATACGTTCTAATTAAGTTAATTAATTTTTTTAATTAAATTTAAAAATACTCTACTAAAAACTCACTAATTTTGAGATGTGTTACTTTTCTATTAACGCAACGATATATTGTCGAGGAAAATGATAACTATGTAAACTATTAATCATTTTTATTTAATTTTATTATATACTTAAAAAATTTTGATTCAATGAACTTTTGATTGGTTCAAAAATCATCTTTATATTCAATACAACTCTATTGTTATCTTAGAACGTGTGTGCCGTTAAGAACGGCGAATAAGTATGAAAGTTCAGGTACGTAGCACGTGACTCGAGGACAAATCTCAGGATCCAGCGATCTGAAGTGCGCGTAGATAAGGCACTTAGGTGACACGCGCTACGAAAATACACGACGAAGAAACGGCGAGGAGGGCGACAAGACAGAATTAGACGCGGAGAAAGAGGCGCGACGTCCGACCGTTTGTTTTACGGCTTCGCCCGTTTCTACGACATCGAGCGCAATTTTTCTTGCTGCCTCCTCTTCTTCGTCGTCTTCGTCCTCCCCCCGTTTCTGGTGCCTCGCCCAAGCGTTCCTTTATTCCGGAGAAGGCTCGCGACCTGTCGACCCCGCGCTGGCGAGAGATTAATGCCCGCCTCGACGCGATTACTTGTGATATTGAGATAATATTCTTAAATATTCAAAGATTTAAGTGAAATAAAGAAATCGATAAATATGAAGTGTGTAATATCTTAAATATATATATTTAATAAAAATATTAAATGAAAAATATAAATTATCATGTATATTGTATATCATAAGTTTTTTTTAATTTTTCTTCAGTTTCTATTTTTAAATAAAGCATTTATTACAATAATAAAGTAAAGTTAGAATATACTTCGAAAATATCTACATCTTTTTTATTTTTTTTATATGATATTTGTGTAAAAGAATTATATAAAAAGCGTTATCAATTAAAGTAATAAACTCTTTGTTATCTTTTATATAAAGATACCGATTATTTTATACTGTTGCAGACAAACTATCCGTTTCTATATTAATGTATCGATGCCCTTAAGAAAACACATCTAATCATCGTTGACATCGGGCGAGTAAGAATGTCGACGCTCTATTATATTTAAACATCCCTAGAAGAGCTTCCGACGAAGGTGCTTCCGATGTTTCATTTACGGCGCGGCCGCAAATTCGTCAACAGGCACCCCGTTTAAAAATAAGACGTAAGAACACACCATCCCCGTCGAGACGCACTGGCTTATTGGCGTTTCTGCTCATTAGGATAACTCGAGGGGGTTCCGACGCGATAACTCATTCGGCTCTGAGAAAAAGTAAATAGAGCGGGAAACGGAGAAGCGCGCGTACGCCGGCCGGGAATTCTGCGAGCGACCGAGATTATCGAGGAAACGTTTATTTTTGCTCGTTAATTTCACGTCTCGCTTCCGTCGCTCGTTTGTCTCCCGCCCTTTTCATAATCTAACACGTTCCTTCTGGTCCCGAATTGAGCTCAGGATACTTCTCGTGTTCCAGGATAATCTTTTCCGTCATGACGACAATATTACCTATTATGAATTAGCTTGAAGAAAAAAATAACTCAAGATCTGTTTAAGTTCACGTAATTTTTTCCTTTAAAAATTTCTCCTTATAATAATAAATATTACTATCACAAAAAATGACATAGCATTGCGATAATTAATACAATATAAACCTTGTGTAGAAGTTTAATCTAAATTTGGAAGATTTATAACAATAAATAAAGTAGCAGAACTTTTGTAAAATTTGTTGATAATAGTTGTTGATAATAGATTGATAATGCTATTTATAATTATTCTGTTAATTTAATATTATCAATATTGATTTATCATGCTTACTTATTGTATTTTACGTAGTAGTTATTTATTTGTTAGTAGTTTTTTTTATCTTTAATTTATATCTATAATGAAAGAAGCTTTATTGTAAAATTTATATAAACAATATCAATTTTTTTTACTCGAAGATTAATTAAGATTCTAAGATTCTTTCAAATATAAATTTAATATCAATAATAATTTCGTCGTATAGTGAAATTTATTATAGATAACAGAACTTCTCAAACAAGAACAAATTTATGTAACACAGAGTTAACAGGAAAATTATTATCTTAACTCATAATAAAAATGAAATATTACAATATATAAAAAACATATGAGCCATTATATGTATCATTTTTAATTTTATTTTTATAGATTTATAAATATATCCATTTAGAATTCCTTTAAAGTTTTTTTAAAACTTTTTGGCAAATTTGACTACTACTGACAATCGATTGCATTTATATAACTAGAATTACCATTGTACCATAAATTGATACGACAGGTTAGTATCACAATATAATATATAATTTATTCTTTTAATTGCTAGATTTTTATAAACTTTCTATTATAATAAAAAATTAAAACATCTTTTGATTATAAAAAATAAATATTTTAACTGCTAACATTTTATCAATGCAACGTATTATATCGAATAGGGATATTATCATCTACGAGAAATCTATAGTTAATAATATAGGAATCTGTAAATGATATTGTTAAATCGTATTTATTGTAAAATATTAATCATTCCTCATAATTGATAATCAATTTTTATCAATTATGTGTAAACTTATAATAGATGTTAAATAAAAGTAAATTTTTTTTTATCTATTCTTATCATCTACGGAATCATCAGTAATCTTATCTTGAAAAGAACATTCTTAAAAAAACTATATTGATGAGATTGTAAAAAAATCAATATTACAAGGTTTTTTTTAAATAATTACTTTTTAATTTTAGAAATTAAGAATTAAGAATTAAAAACCGATTCTATATATATATAGTTATAAATAGAAACAAGAAATATAAGATTTAATAAAATAATCTATTTCTTCTTATCTTATATTTATTTTGACAAAAAACCATCTCCGAGGAAACTGTCGGTAGAGCAGAAAGATCAATATTATGCAACGTTGCCATGTCGAACATGTCAAGGGTTGAGTGTCAGAGTCTTTATGGGAAAGTGGTTTTCGTCGCGGGGGGTGAGAAAAAAGCAAAGGAAAAATTCAGGAAAGTTTGATTACACGTGGGTCATGACTACATCGTACATCGCGAGTACGTAACACGAGTGTCGTTAGTTTTTCGTTCCTTAATTATACTCAGGGTTGCATGTGATGGAGTGTCGTCCGAGAGACGAGGGTTGTTAATGTCATGCATGCTCCTCAGGGAATGTGAGTCTTTCCTGAGAACTTTTTAGAATTTACATTAAACATAGACAAATTAGTTAACGGATATTTAAATAACTGTAATTAAACAGTGAAGTAACAAATGTGGACTTCATTTTTAGTGAACTTTATTATTATGCTAAAATTTAAGGCTAAAAAAACATATTAAAGCGAAACTTAAAGGTTTAAAGAATTAAAGTTCAAAATAATCTGATAAAATTAAATCATTGAAGAAAACTTAAAACTGAAGAAATAAAGATAATAAATATCTATTGATTTTGAAGATAAAAAATATTGATGTTTAAGTTAAAATGATACTTTAAAAATGTCAAAAATGGTATAAATAAGAAAATTTAGAATACAATGATCATTAGAAGCAAACATTTCATAAAAATTTCAGAAGAAAAAACGAAAAATAAAAATTTTGCAGGTCTATCTAGAAGAATTTAGTTAACATTTTTTCATTGTTTTTTTTTAATACATTAAATATCCTGAAGTTTTGAAATAAGAGAATACGCTGCAATTATATAAAGATTAACCTCTAAAACATCCAGTAAGGTTTCCCACTAAATCGCTCCTTGATTTCCAGGATATCAGCATGAGTCTCTGCCCACGGAGACGCTTTCGCATCACTCCTATGCGAGCTCTGGCGGCATTCTTCCTGATGGTGGTGCTATTCTGGTATAGCCTCAGTCGGCAAGAAATTCCGCAGCAGCCGTGTAGCGTGCCCGAAGAATTTACCGAAAAATTACATGATCTCGCTTACAGGTCAGTGTTCGTGATATTTTAATAGCGTTCTAATAAAAATTAAATAGACATTAGATGTTCGATATTTTTTCTCTCAATCACAAGCTTTAGATTTTAAGTTATAAAAAAACATGTAATTAATAAAACGTTGCTTTCTCAATTATTAGTTTTAAGTTAAATTTTAGAGGATATATCTCTCTTTAATTTTAAATACGTAAAGCTTTATTATTAATGTATTATTAAAGCATTTACTATATTAAAACATACATAATTATATATAAATTTTACTAGGGCTCATTTGGTTCTCACTAAATTGGGCATTGTTCACTTTCTCTGCTTGGGCGGCCTTTGGGGTCAAGTTCGAATAGGCCGCGCACTGCCGTGGGCTCGTAAAGTGGAGCTATGCTTGGTCGACACGCTCCGCGACGATGTCTTAATCACGAAAGCCTTCCGGGAGGTCGGTTTGAGTGCAACCTATCTTCACGCGGCGGGAATTTACAGGATACAGGAGCACGAGGTCGGCGAGGACGCACCCAAGGTGGAGGTGGTTGTTTTCGAGGAAGACGCGGTGGTAAGAAGTTTCTTAAACAATAATATTATGTTTAAAGTGGATTTATATTGGTTTTATATTAACGAGAATTTTTTTAAATTCATAGCTGTAAAGTTTTAATAAATAACAATTCTTAAAGAATATGTTTTTCCGTAAAACGTAAAAAATCAAGAAGATAAAACCACAGTTTTGTCAATATTTGCTTTAGACGCTTCGCATTTATGTCAGTTTTATTGTCACTCTATAATTGCTGATATAACTTCGGCTCTTCCTTGCTTTTATATCAAGAGCAGTATTTGTATTCAGTAAGGTTTGCGTTTTATGTATCCAGCACGCAAATGCAAATTCGACGCTTTGTGTCTTGTTGGCTTTACGCTTTTATGGAGCACTGAAGGAAACTGCAGGAAATATATACGATTTCTGTGCGCTTTAACAGCGCATCCCGTATGTAGGACAAACGAAGACGACTTCCTTTGGTAGCGTCGGTTTGTCTATAAACCAGCGATGCAGACGTTTTATTGCCCCTCATTTGTAGGCATTACGATCCGTAAATTGCCGGATTCGCCGGCAAGGCTATTTAATAGTACGTCATATATATGTACTAAATCTTAGATTTCTTGGATTTATGAAGCATATCAGTAGTTTGATTTCGCTGAGAATCGTATCGTCTTTAAAAAGATCTGATTTATGATGAAAATCCTTAAAAATAATTATTCAAAACAGAAGAAAGTAATGTAGAGATATTAAATACAAACGTCGTTACAACGTCTCAGAAAGGTTCAACGGTGTTGACACTTGCAGACGCAGATGGTCAGGAGAGTCGGCTGGACCAGAAGAGTCCTGCCTCCGGATTGCGAATTCTCACCGAGTCTACAGTGTTTTCCACCGCAATTAGTGATACCACCCCTACCGGCGAAACAATTCGGCGGCCGGCTGATGCCGGTGCCGCGAGAAGGCATAGAATTGCAGAAGTATCATTATCCCAATGACTGGTGGCTGGAGATCAAGCCCACTGACTGTACCGAGCCCCAAGAGACGAACGTGTAGTATACAATCATGTGGTGCAATTAGTCCTAGCGGGATGTTAGAACACTACTGTATAGTTCGTTAGATTGGAACATTGATCAATCAGCTTGGATATAATCCAATTATAATTTGGTTGATTTATAATGTCCAACTGATAATTAGCTTGGATTACGATAAAGAAAAGCACTGAGGTATTTTATTGTAATCAGAAAATAGTTTCTAGAAGTAGACACGACGAATAGAAAAAAAATGTGCATGTGATAACAACGGTAGATATTTTCAGTTGTTACGTAACTGTTTATAGACTTAATTTACTCTTCTAAAAAGTTCGATCGGCGTACAAAATGACGACGCAATTGCCGCTTATAGAAAGTATTCAAGTGCTGTCATAAAATGAAACGGACGCGGTAGTATTATCAATAGTAGTGATCTATCTGCTAATCATCGTAGCGAATGTACTATTAGATTAAAAATAGATGAAAATTATAAGTCATCTCGTCTAATCGGTTCTGAGAATTTTCTATTATTGTCATATTATTTTTATTTTTATATCTCGCATTTTTTGTCTTTCTTAGGCTTCTAATTTCTAATTAAAATTTTATAAACTGGAAGTTTAAATTTACTATACAATCATTGAAATATACATATACAATCATTGAAATTACACAACGACTTTTTATGCATTTTTAAAAACCTTTTTTGATGATTTAAGCCGCGAATTTTGAAACACAGTAATGTTTATACTACCATAAGTGCTAAGAAGGTTAAAATACATGTATGCGAATACATGTTTAATGTTCATATATATTCTTCGAAGCGCAAAGTACTCTATAACTAATTGTGAAGTTATAGAGAAGATATACAATAAGAGGTAAATTATACATGTGTGTGTATGTGCGCGCGTGTGTGTGTGTGTGTACTTTAAAGACATTAGGTTAGCTTTAACTTTATTAACTGTACACTTATTTACACGTTTATACGCAATATGTGCTTTTTATCTTTGACTATATAAATATGGACTGCTAGTCCCTCCACTTTTACTATGTAAAAGACATATGCCCGGAGTCGCCGAGCTGAAGTTGGTCGAAGTATCGAACTTCAATTGTTAGGCTCCACCCCAGTTAGTAAAAAAATGTCAAATATGTCAAAATGTATAAAATATTATGTTGAAAATTGATAGAAAGCCGGAAAAAAACTCAAATCGATGGAAAGAGATTAAAAACAGATTAAGCACCTTTTTTTACACGTCGTAAATACGCTGATTTCACAGAAGCCTTCCCCTTCCGCGCAGAAAATTACTGACTGGGGTGGAGTTTACATCTTCCAGCTTGGCAACACGTATATATGAAGTTAATTACTATCAGTCCATACTTATACAATTAAAGTTTTTTATACGAAAATATGTCTTCTTAAAATGACGTACTTTGTTTAAGGCGTTTAAAAGCGATTGATTATATATAATTATTACTTCAACAATCAATCTTACCATTTATTATAAGCTGTAATAACAATCGTAATTATTACTCAGTACAACATAATGGGAAATAATACTACGCAATAATAAAACTGTGTTTGTTCTTCTACTGTGGCCGCGCGCGAACTTGTGTTAATGCAAATTGTAAATGTAATTGTAACAATACACTTCGTAATGTTATAGTTACGTCCCGAAATCTCTTTCAGGGATTGAATAAAAATCTGTAAAATAGATTAATTGCCCTTCAGTTCACTCCAGAGTAATTATATGCATGACCGTCGAAATATCTTCCTTTATAATTAGGAGGAGAAAGTGCTCAAGAGCTGGAAAAGGATTTCGACTTTGACTAGATTGATGAAATAGACATCACAACAGCAACATCATTCAAAGCAATGAGTACTTCCACAGCCTAAAGGAATGTTCGAAAGTAAACGCGTGCACGCATTACCATGCGTTTCTTGTCGAAAGTGTCTTGAAAACACCTTTATGGACGCCACCGTTCACTTTTCACTACGGCTCATCAATTACTGCAATTTTTTTATTACGGACACCTCTTCTACGCTGTCGCTTTATTAAGATTTAATTCTATGTTTATTTTAATACAAAATTAATATTATTTACAAAAATCATTTTAACTTTAATTTAAATATTAAAAGAATAAATTTTCAAGAATTTTTCTTAAAGGTAATTTTTTAATATTTAGTTTTTTATCAAATTTAATATTAAGATATTTAATATCGCGTTTTTGGAATTATGTTCCGAAAAAAGCTGCTGTTATTTGGTAGTATTTTCGTATAATTCGATTATTTGATATATGGATGCGCGTGCCTACAAGGCTAGTAAGAAATACGGTAATATTTCATAAATTTAGGTCACAGAGAAAGTATCTATTTTGTGCAACATGAATCACGCATGAAATTTGCATGTGATTATTTACTAACAACACAATCCTTTATTCCTCGAATCATTGTATGTCGAAAATGTCATTAATCTTTCTATTTTGCTTTTAGATGCATACAATCTTTTGTCAAATAATGTCTCATTTCGTTTATCTGTGTTTACTTGTGAAACTAATAAGTACACGTATTGAGTGTACATTTACCTTAGAGAAACTTTGCTTCAGTTGAAAAACAAATTGTAATAACTCTAGTTGTAGCATTACGATGACACTTATGAGCCATTATATGCATGTTGCTTTAGCCGGCTCAAGAGAAATGGAAGGGACGGTATAAAAGAAGTCGGCTCGAAGACTTCCAAGTTTACAGTTTCATTTCGGTTCGTGAAGGTTTCGTCCGGCTATACGCGAACATTTTTTTTTATTGAAAATCTTAGGGATATAATGTTTGTGTTCTGCTTCAAAAACAGAGTGAAATAACAGTCTACAATCAAAGAAGATTATTTAATATCTAAAACTTTTATTTAATTTATACGTTTTATATTTTTCAAATGCAGTGTAATACAGAATTGACTGCAAAGTTCTCAAAGTCGTTGAGATGATTAAAGTAAAAGTTAAAGTAATTATTTTAGATAAAGTGACAAATTAACAAATAGTGATAAATAAACAAATATTTCCTTATCACTTTGTAGAAGAGATTATTAATTATTAAAATGAAAAAAGTGTGTAGGAAATGCCGTTTTAACTACGTATTTATTTAATCAATAATTTAATTACCTAAATTGGATACGCATTGAAAGTAAAATTTTATTAATTAAAAATTGTTCTACGTTATACAAAAATGAAGGTGAGTAAATTAAAGAAATAAACATTTTCCATTGCAAAAATTAATATTAATTTATGTTAATTTTCGTACTATATTAATAATTTTTAGTTATCTATGGCTATCTTGATCTTTGGCTTAATCCTGGAATTAGTGGAATTTAATGAAACCTACAAAATTAAGTCATATTATAGTCCCCACCCGCCACGACGCCCACGATGGCATTCGCTTCCAAAGCACCGAAAGCACCATTATCATCCTAAAAGGATATCACCGCAAAAGTATCACCTTTACGAACAAGAACCAGACTACCACAGGTAAAATTGAAATTCGTTAAAAATTTCATCTTTGTTAAATATTTTAAAAATTTGTTTCTTTGTTGTGTCTCATTTCAGTCGCTTATTATATTGCTTTTATATACATATTTAATATTATGCATATTTAACATACATATTTAACATATATATTTTTTAATTATTTGTATATGCAGATATTCTTCGTATCAGGAGGATATGTCTGACCACGAAAAACCTTATGTTATAGTTATACAACTTCCTAAAAATGAGAAAAAGAACTATTATTCCTATCAGCGAAAGCATGTTACAGATCCTCTGCAAAATAATGATTATCTCGACGACGCTGATGGGTTGAAAGTGTACCAATTAAATAACTAAGAAATTCAAATTAAAGTCAGCGATTGATTGTCGGTTTTTGCATTGTAAGACATATATATAATAATTTGATTTGTTTAATAAATATAAAAACTAAGATATAAAGAATTCATAAAGTTGCGTTTCAGTTTTCATATTTTAATGTTTTATACTTGCTTGTTATGTTTGATATATTTTGTATGTTAACTTTTTGCGTTTAAGACTGTGTTCATTTACAAATATATGTCCATGTAGTCTATGTTGCACTGGAAATATTTTTAAAATTATGTTTTATTTACTGGAATTGTACTATTCACATTTTATAATTTTCTAATAAGGCATTATTTTTTGCGATTATATAATATAAATTATATCTGGAATTACAATTTAGATTGTTTTAAGATTGACGAGATTGAGAAGACTCTTCTGAAATTATCCTGTCACCTTACAATAAATGCAAGGATAGCGAAGAAAATTAAATAAAAAGTAGGATTTGGCCTTATGTCTTCACAATCAGACTACACGTTTTTCAATGTAGTTTTTATTTCTAACGTAATAGTCAACGAACATATTGTAATTGTAAATAATAATAACATACAATGTCGTCGTAATGTTGATGTGTCGCTGCTGCAGTCTGTCTTGCGCAATTCCGTTTATTCTCTTAACACGACGTCGACAAAGATCACACTCAAACGAATTCTTTCGTACTTTAGGCTCTTGTCTACGTCGGAAAATAGATCAGTCTTGCAAACGAGAGTTTTTTGGTATTAAAATTAGTTATAAAATTAACTTAACAAATCTACTATTAATAAAACTTTAAATATCACTGCAAATATCATTTGGAACTAACAAAGTGAGCAACTCAGTCTTTTTCAAATTTCGATTGTTACAAATATATAAAGTTTCCATATTTGCTATATTTGATTACATTGTATATATATATATGTATATATATATATATATATATATATATATATATATATGTACATATAATGAGCTTTTTTGCGAAAGCAACTATACGCATGATAGAATATTACAACAATCTAATTTAACAAAAATAATTTCTATTTTAAACAACGACGATCCTTTCCGACGTGCGCCTCTCACAACTTCGTACAATCCTTCGTAACATTACAATACTCTACAGCCACTTTTGTGTTTAACATTTACACTCGACTCTACACAGCCGTTTTTAATTAATTTTATCTCCTCCACGTTTTCTTTTTTTGTTTAATCGTTTGTGCGTCTTTATTGATCTTCTACGGCTTCACTCTCACACGCGCGGTGATTATATAAACATAGAAACATACAAACACACATGTTTTTTTTTCTACGTGTCACGCACGACGCATATTTAGCCTTTTTTCCGTTTAATCTGCGCGAATAATTAAACTTTGCTTTTTATAATTTGCATCTCGCCATCAACTACATTTTTTTTTCGAAGCACTTTATTGCAGGTTTTTCTTTTTTAACGAAGCACTTATTTGTTTTTTTTTTATACCCGGTTTATTCGGCTTATTTTTTTCATTTCACTTTTAGTTTTTTATTTATTTATTTAACGCGCTTTACATTTGATTAAGGGATGTGCAAATGTAATTTTTCGTTCGCCGGTGTTGGATAGAAATTGCTGCGTGTTCTCTCGACATATCATATTTATCGTGAATGCGCATTTTATGCACTAATTTTATACAACAACGATCTCGGCCTATTTACGCCGTTCGGATGTCCTTCACCAATGACTACGTAGTAGCATCAAATGTTATTTTTGTATTAAAATTACGCAATTGTGTAACAATTCATAGATTAAGCAATTTATATACGGATTAATGATTGTGTACTAACGAATAGAAGGCGTTCGCTTGGAATTGCAGATAGCGAGATGAAAATCCGTAGAATTAGGGATCTTTTTGAAATGTATCGAAACCGAAAATCCGCGAAGGACACCCTAACTCACGCAAATACGCGAGACATGCGTGTGTGATTACCGCGGCAGCTCTATTTTACGCACGTGTTTTTTTTTCTGTATGTGTATATAATCAGCGTTTCTCTCTGAAAGACTTAATAATTATATATTTCCGTTGTAATCACAGTCGATGTAAAAGTGTACACAGAGGCGATGCTCATTAATGCAATATATCTATATTTAATCTTTCGTTTACGATTTCTCTCTCCCTTTCTACTCCGCTTTATTCTTACCTCGCACGTCAACGAACGATTCACGTTCCTCTCCAAACCACCTCGATCGAATTTCGGTCCGTTCTCGAAACTTCGACGGATGCCCCCCTCTCCCCGAACGCGGGGGTCGAGGGACATCGGAATACTTTTTATCTTTAACGGCCGCCATCGCGGTTTCGATTTCACACGTGCGTGCGTGTCTCTCTGTAAGGCGTGGCACTTGCAAGATATGAAAATCAATCGCACACGTCAAAACTGCGCCCCAGCGACTTCGTTCACCCTGCGCTCTCCTGCGATACCGCCGGTACCACGGGCTCCCGTGGTACCGAAGCATAATTCCGTGGCGGTACCAAGACCGTCGCGCGTTCTCTCTTCCGGAGGAAGTAGGCCATTCGCCGGGTATCGCGTCGACCGGAAGTTTCAAAGGGTGAGTTTTGCGGCGTGCTTTAGGATGACGACGAGGCCACGACGGGGCTAGGCGGAGCGTTGCGGCGACAGTGAAAGTAGAGGCACGCTGGCAGGCCCTTCCCCGTCGTCGGGCGAGCGTCATACCGGTGTCTCGAAGGTCACCTGAAACATTTGTTTTACAGTTTGTGATAAAATAAGAATAAAAGAAAAACTTTAAAAAGTCACGCAAAAATATTATTAGGTATTAAGATCCGCTTTGATCGAATAGGCTTATACTTCTACAATACTTCTTATTTGCGTATTTACACATTGATCGATTTCACCTATTATTAGTTAAAAAATCAATTTAAGTCAAAGGCAATTTAAGTCGCAGCTGAAAAAGTCGATTCATACTACTTATTATACAATTTTACAATTTATGATAAAATAAGAATAAAAAACATTAAAAAGTCACGCAAAAATATTATTAAGCATTAAGATTCGCTTTGATCGAAAAGGCTTACTTCTACTATTATTAATTGTGTATTCACATATCGGTTGATTTCATCTATTATTGATTATATAAAAAAAATCAATTTATTCCGAATAAAATGGCTGAAAAAGTCGATTTATAGGCAATATAAAATTTCTTCCAAAATGATAAGAAATAATAAATCGCGTTGACAGATCAGCAGGCCAAATGCGACAACAGAAATTTTTATTTAAGAATATCAGAAGATATTTTATTTCATCGATAAACATTCGGTGCCCTAGATGGAAAAAATCAACATAGCGAACTATGTACAGGATATCTCATATCCCATGTTATATTCACTTTAAGTATACTAATTTAGTACGACAATAATTCCGACTATCATAACATCGATTTGCTTGAAACTTGCGCGCAATGTTTTTTTAAAAGTTACAGAAGTTTAAAATTTACTGGGTCATACTCCCGCTTAGGGCATTAGGGCGCCGAGGATTAAGCAATATTAAGTCGTATCTCGGTACACGTGCATGTTAATGTGTTAGATATCCGCGTTTATCAAGCTGTTAAAGTTGCTGAAGTGGATCACGGTCTGCTATCTCTAGATCGGCGAAAGCCTCGGTAAGCGCAAACGCATGGAGAAATGTCTATAGTTGAACACATAAGATAATATAATTACGGCGTTAATGTTAGAAACTGTAATTACGTCCGTCTAATGCGATGCATTAAAGTGTACTAGACAATTCAGGCACGTTTGCCGAAGGAGAGTCTGCAAATATCTTGATGTATAGATTGGCGTACAAAGTATACTCGGGCGACAATCAGAATAGCATCGACTTGCTTGTAGTAACACAAGTATACTACAGTTTGATTGTTTGGAGAGAGGAAGCGCTAATGACGGCGATAAGGAATATGCTCCCTCCCAACTTTCCCAAGCTCCCTCCAATACGGTAGGTCACCATCGTACACGTGATATAGGAAATAATTTCAATAAGAAAATTACATGTACAAGTTTTATTTTAATTAACATTCGATACTAAATTTAAAAAATACATAAAGTGACATTCGATTGAGTATATAGAAAAATGAGAAGTTGAGTAAAGATATATATATTGCTCTGCATGCACGCTTTTTTGTTAACTCGCTTTTAAAATTCGCGTGTTCTCTGTTTTGTTTGGTCTAAAAATAACCGCGCCACGGGGGGGATGGCCACTCGATCCTCTATCGTATCTCCCGTAATGAAGTCAACGTAACGAAGTCAATGAAGCGGAATCAACCTACCTCTCGAGTCCCTTTTCTCGATCGTTTCCTCTCGAGCTTCGGTGTCTGAGGTAGCAGGGTGTAATCGCCGCCAGCACCCCCGCTTCGTTGTCGCGCCACGGGAGGGTGGGACAGCGCGGGTACTCGCGGAGGCGGCGAGAACTGGATGCCCTGCGGCAGTAACGAGTAGCCGAGGTTTTGGCTTTGAATGAACGGCGAGGTCGGCGGGAAGTGGTTCGCTACTACCGGCGCCCAATACTGGTGCGAATAACGAGCCGAGGAGTTCCCTGGGGACAGACAAATCCCGATCGTCTCGGTTTAGCCTTTAAAGGTCAAGCCTTTCTAATATCCAACGAACCACACGCGAGCGAATATGTCGCTTGTATGACCGATTACGTAAACCGAATTATTGAAGATCTTGGGTGAACACTGTTAAATCTATAGTGTCGAATTCGACACTATTTGAGTTGCCACCGCTCCTACATAATATATATATATATATATACAGGGTGTCTCATAATAGGTGTATCACCGTTCATGGGTAAATAGAACAGACTAAACTAAACAGAAAAGTCCTCTACCATTTTGCAAAATGCGCAATTGTTAACAAAATATTAATTTTTGAAGATCGGCAAATAAACTTAATATATACACACACACACACATATATGTATATATATTTATATATATGTAGTTATTTTTAATTAATTTATTAATTATTTAATTATTTTTTTAATTATTATTAATTATTAATTTTTTAATTATTTTTAATTAAAACAATGAAGTTAAATAATTTAAAACAGTTCAAATTTAACCCAAATTTGAGTTAAATTTCATTGTTTTATTTAAAAATAACTATATATTTGGTTAAAAAAACTATATCCCAGCAAACACAGATTATAACTGCAATGATGCAGCACCATTGTAACATTCCAGCTATATATAAATATTACATTTTTACAATATTTTGTAGTTATAATCTGTGTTTGTTGGGTGTTAAGTAGAAGCAGTGGTGACTCAAATAGGATTAAATTTGATACTTTAGATTTAACAGTGAAGGTGGCAGACTAAATTATGAAGCGAAATATAAAATGTTATACGGTAAATACATTCTTTGTATCTTCGTGAATAAGAATAATAAATTAAGAATTTAATTATCAGAAATATTATTTATAGAAATCATAAGAAAATAATTATCAGGATCCAAAGATCCAGAATAATGCAAAGACTACGTAGAATGAAGAAACTGCTGTTTGAATGCTCAAGAAAAAGGAAGAAAAGGCTGCGACACTTACTGTCACTACGGGAATTGTACTGCCTCTGCACCTTCCAGGTCGTCGATCGTACCTTTCCGGCGGTTTCCGTATTAACGGCGTCGACGCTGAGACTTCTCGTGACCCCCCTGTAAGGATTCGACGTGGCGTTCTCACTGGCAGTCGCGACACCAGCGAGCTGCTCGTTAAGGGCGTACAACTTGGACGTAATGTCCTTACCGATGAGGGTGTTGAGAACGACCTTGAGCAACGGCCTGTGCCGGAGTACCCTGAGTAACTTCATTCTCGTCCAACAGATATACGTGCTGGGCTCCTCGGCTCGTATCGTCACCTGGAAGACGTCGGCGTCGCTTTCATGCGTGGCCTCCCATTCGGGCGAGTCGACGAATTGGTAGGCTCTGATGTAGTGCAAGTGGGTCCCGTCGCAAGTTACCTTCAATCTGGAATCAAGAGGAGAAATTCGAACGTCGAAACTGCACGAGACATTCCCTATTTGCCAGAGCAAAAGAACGCTCAACAAAATCTTTTTTCTGCAATAATGAATTAATGCAGCATATGAAAAAAAAAAGATCGAACGAAGAATATGAAAGTTTTAAATTATATTTCTCGATATTAATTCCATAAAAGTCACGGAGATGAGATAAAAGGCGTCTATATTAATCTAGTTTCAATTAGCCTTTAATTTTAATTACAGGATCAGCCTTCTTTCACAAGAAATGACACCACCTCTATCCCAAGGGAATTAACCTTTAATTAAAAAGAAGGATACCCACTTCCCGCGCAAAAGAATGGACAGCCTCCTATCCGCCGGCGTGACCCCTTCCGTCGCGTAAGTCTGATCGGAATCCAACTTGAGTATCCTCGCCTCCTTCGCCAGCTCCTGAAAATGCTTCTTGCTGACCTTGTAGGGCTTGAAGAGCTTCAAATAGAGTTCGGCTAGTTCGGGGGCGAGAGCCGGAGGCAGAAATCGACAGGCGAGTATCAGCGAGTGAACGCCGTTTAACAGACCGAGGGCCAAGCACCATAACATGGCATCCAGAGCGCATATGGTGAACCCGGCCCAGAGGGCCGCCAACATGAAACCCGCCGTGAGAAGTGTGCGAAGAGCCAGGATGGAAGCCTTGAACGAGCGCGGCACCAGAAACGCAACCGCAAAAAATAAATTTGCTGCCTGAAATTAATTACAATCAACATAATGATTTTAAATTCTGAGGAAATATTTGAAAATTCACGTTATTAAAGAACAATTTTGAACTCTGTCCAAAACCTCATACATGACGCAGTGAATTTTCGTGAAATTTTTACGAAAGAGTATTATTTTGATTATTACTCGTGTTATGCGAAGAAGAGATCTCATAAACTCTTAAAAAAATTTAGAATTTTTCAAACCGTATATATCTTTACCTGGAAGAGCTTGTGCTGAGCAGCTTCCCATTCATCGCAATAGCCACCCGGTAACAACACCGTCGCGTTTAGTCTCTCGGTGACGTTGCTGCCCTCAGTGCTATTATTCCAGACGTCCAGCCACAGTTCCGTGTAGTTGAAATCGTCCAGCGAGCCGCCCAGGTTCGGCAGACCGCTGTAGTTAAAGGTGTAACCCTCACTCGAATAAGTCGCCGCCGATGTCGACGCGGTGGGAAACGGCGTCGTTGTCGAGGATGAAAGAAGGCTGCCGCCGGCCGTCGCGGGTGAATCAGTCGTGTTCGCCATTTTTTGTGGAGGGCCCGTGACACGTGCCATCACTTTTGACTCCTGCAAGCCATACGTTGGTATCTTCTAAATTTAGATCTTCAAAAATTTATAAGAATAGTATTTTTTTTCGATTCAAACAGTCGAACAGTTTTAATGTTTTATGAATATTACATTAATTTGTAAAGTTATTTTTATCCATTCTGACGAACTTTTATTATAATTTTGACTTGCTATACACACGGATCCCAACATCAAGTACCAATGTTACGTACCTTCCTGTTAATTGTAATTTCCCACTCAACAATATAACTATAATAATAACACATGTATTATATTATATTGTTGAGTGAGAAATTACAACTAACAGGTACATTACATGTTACTTGGTATTTGCTGAATATAATTGCTTACAATATGTAAATTGGGAGTCAACTCATTCCTTGTGGAGCATCATTACGTAGCGTTTATTGGCGGAAATGTATAACAATTTTTTTGGAATTGGGATGCGCTAAGGATGGCCTGAATGAGGCTGAAAAGTTCGCGATGAGAAAATTGTAAGGAAGATTGAAATAGATATGAGAAATTACGCACCAACAACGACGTTTGACTCATGTGTGCTTATTTTTTATATTTCCTTGTTATCAGAATTGTATTTGTCTATGTACTACATACTCTATAAATTGTTTTTATATAGTTTTCATATCTTATATTTCTTATATTTACTTTCATAATATATTTATAAAGAAATATCTAATGCTATTTTCCTTATAACTCTTAAATCAATATTAAAATAAAATTAAAAATAATATACGAACCGAAGATTAAAAAAAAACAATTACTCTGGATTTTGTAGACTAAAAATTTAAATATCACACAGAATGCATGAAATTATCAATTTCTATTGATTCTGACAGTAAAATATGTAAAATCTCTATCGCCGGACGGATATTAATGGCTAATTGAGGTGCCACTATCTCAATTGATTTTATGTCAGAAAAATTTCCCTTCTACAAACAATTTTTTGTACGATATTCGCCGGCGTTTCCGATACACGCTAGAATCCGACCTTCTATATCGGAAGCGTATATGCATATATTCCTGCCCTTAATTTATCTAAATTACAGTTAAGCACTGGCTGTCGGATTTACAGTAGAAGCCAAAAGCGACTGGGCGATTAGCGTGGAATATCGATTTGACTCTTCGTGATTCGGGATGCAATATCTGAGCTTTATTATCTTCGAGGTCGCGCGCGCCCGCGAGGGCCTGCGTGACTTTAGCGTTTCGTTTCGCCGCCGACCCAAAGATTTTGCGGGATATTTTCTAGCCGAAACGGCGAAAATCTCGAAATAGCATGCAGTTAAGGATCGACCACGTCATCGCCATCATGAGAGTCGATTTTATCTGTTTTCGAGCTGAGCTGTATACAGAGTGCCCCCGAAACTGCAGAGGCGTCCTGCAGACCGTAAAAGCGGACAAAACATCTTGGCACGTACCTCCTGGCTTTTATAAACTGTCTCTCCTCGAAGATACATCCGTGTAATTTATACTCTTAGAGAACATATTGAGTTTCATTTAAAAAAAAAAGCTCCCATTTCATATAAAGCTCATTTCTTGCTTTTGCTTCGATCCAACGAACCCACGTGATTTCTTACTAACGTAAGCTAAAGCCAGCAATTTGCATTCTAATAGGGTTTTTTACATTGAACAGAATGAATGCATGCAATTCTTAGCCAGAATTAGAAATTTGATATTTAACGATATATATGAAAGCACTGGTCTACGTTGTTGAAAGCATCCGTTTATGTTGTGATAAATTTATCTATTTCAAATCATATATATAAAATAACTTTACTTGTGTATATTCTTTTAAGGATACTTATGTTGTTTATTATTTATTGGTTTAGTCAATTCAGGAGTCGATTGCGATTCAGTATGAAAGTCACCGGTTCGCGCAATCTTATAAGAATCAATAAAGAGAAATAAAATCACGCGAAAGAACATTTCGATTATCTTATATTGCGAAAGCATGCTGTCGATACGGGCTGCGCAACCAACCAGAAACGGCCAGAAATGCCATTTAACGTCCTTTCCGCTGACACAGCACGCGCCAGCAATCGTGGATCCGCTCTCGGAATGATTCAATATCATCATTCGATTTTCGATATTTCCGTCCGGGGTGAGCCCGGGGTGTCGCGCTTCCACCTAACTACGGAACTACGTCAGCCTACCCGGAAATTCGTTAGGACATTCTTTCCGGCCTGATTCAACTATCGTACAATAGATCGTAAACTGGAATCCAGGATTTAAAGGAGCGCGTATGTATTCGTGGATAACTAAATGATAACTATATATATATATATATATATATATATATATATATATATTGTCAGAGTTCTGATTATATCCCTCCTTTTATGTCGGATGTAAAAATTGAATGTTCTCGTGTATGAATTCTACGCAAAAGAGGGCGACATGTTATACCTAAAAATCTATAATCCGAAAGAGGACACTGTATTTAATTAAGTGTTCCCAACTGATAATTGGATTCCGGTCTATTCTTATAACGATTTTACAGCATCGTAAAAAGATACGACTTGCGAATGTAAGTGCCATTTTTAAGACCTCGCTCTCTGACAATTTATCACTCGTACAATCTCGCTCCTCGTGCAAGACACTGATCTCATTATTTTTATACAAAAGTGTTATAAACCGACGACCGAGATTCTCCAAATAAAACAGTCGATATAGAATTTATATTTAAAATCGCGGGTTATGTAGGTCGATATATATCATATCGTGGAATTGTGCAGGGAGAGAAAGCTAATTATATTAAGAACATCAAAACCGCGGATATTGTTTACGCTTGATTCAACGCTCTGATACGGTCTAGTTTTGCCTGAGAGATTTCCTGAACGTATTAACTTGATTTCACGTTTCGTGCGATCCCCTAAAGAGTTAACGTCTGCCTGCTGCAAGGGCAGGCTCGTGCATTTCGTTATGCAAATCCTAATTCGCGGCTCGGGTCGCGCCGCGATACAAGTTTGACCCTATCTTGATATTCTTTCGCTTAATCTCGGCCCCGTGACGTGAGCTGTAGGTACCCCGCGAAAGGAAACGCGAAGTAACTAGATAATCGGCTTTGCGAGCGAGATTTTAACCGCAGATTTCATCAGCTCTTGTTACGCTCTGTGCCGAGTATTCCTATTATCTTAATACAGTCTACACAGACATTTCGTAGAAACGTTCTAATCACCGCAAAATGTCTTTCCCATTTAGAATTTTAAATATTATAAATAAATGTATATATGCGAGAGCAAATATGACTGTTTTTTCTACTCTGCGTTAATAATTTCTACATATTCGTGAATTGGATAAAAAGGAGGATAGAAAGTACAACGCTCCTGAAACATTTCTAAAATGACAATTATATTGGAAAATGAAATGTTTTAATTCACATCCTTATTTTTTCGAGGGATTTTGTAATCTCTTTATTATAGCCGGCCGACATTACCTGCGTTGATGTATTCTTGCTTGTAAACCGATTAATTCGTCTAATGACGTCACAGCGATAAATTTGCACGAAACAAACGAATTCGCCGAAGATGCTTCTTACAAACGGCCGAAAAGTTTCAAGGTCATCGTGCCTCTGTATCGACTTGGCTCGTATGGTAATTAAGCACGAAAGCGGAGCTTTCGTGACTGGCTGTGCTCACTATCGCCCCAGAAGACTTATTCGCGAGTTCTGCATGGGCTCGGCTGGGTCAGGGTAAATCACGTGACATCATAACAGGGTGTGGTGATTTACGTGAGGTTCTAAAAGCCTTCCTGCAACGTGTGCAGCTTGCATTTACGACGCGTCGAATTTTTACCTCCGCGTGAGGTCCAATTTCAAGGTATATAACACGGATCGAATACTGAGAAGAGATTCTTTCGGAAAAAGAATCTTGCAAGTAATCGATGACGAGACCATAGCGTTAAAAATATTAAAATATATAACAATTAAAAAAATATGATATGTTGCGAACAATTTATCTAATTTATCCCGATTGCTTTGAACGATTGTATATCACATTTAACAAACAGCTAGAATAACTCTGTATTACATTTTTTCTTTAAATTTAATCAAAAATTAACAAATCTGTTTTTTTAAATTAACTACAAAGTCAGCAAATCGTTAACAACTGAATAATAGAATAATAGTATTTCAGGAGGTCCAGTAATACGTTGCGCGTGTGCGACATTGAATTAAATATTATTTGAACGTTATCTGCTATATTTTCTTCTCGATCGTTTTTTTTTATTTAAATCAGGTTAATTGGCATCCTTCAGTTCGAGCCAACAAATTAGCGTCAATAACATATCAGAGAGGAAAAAAAAATTGAGAAAACCAATATGTTCTCTTTTATTGCTCGTGTACCGTGAGTCCGTATGTAAATTGGGTCTCCTGAAAATATGAAAATAATCTTGTCGACGGGCAAGATATGGTTCGCGTGACGACAATCGCTTCCTTGCGATTTTACTTCCGTTTGCCACTTTGTTCCGACCTCGAAGATGTCGGCTTGTATAGGAAATGTCGGTTATATTAACTTCGGGATATTTTTAGAAAATTAATGAAGTTTAATTGGAGAAAGTTTAATCGCGAATACTTAAATTTCACATAATGCAAACGTAAATGGAACATATCTCCGCGTTGTAAAAGAAAATCTCAACGGAGAGAGATAATTCTGTTATCCTGTTTATTCTATTATCCGACAGATAATAGAACGCTGAATATTAAAAAAACGCTGCAAAGTCGACAACGTATAAAAATGCAGATGAGGAAGAGGGCCGAAATGCAACAGCGTCACGTAACCGTTCTGGTGTCACGTAACCATTCTGGGAATCGACCTGGAATCGCCGAGCGGGCACATTCTGTCATTCCCGATTCGTTTTACGATGGACAGCGGCGGTTTGTCGGACAGCTTTTGAATTGGATTAAAGCCGACGGAGGGTTTGAAGCCAACCCTTCGCCCTTCGATCCGTCGCTTCCCACCGAAACGGTGGCTGGCAAGCCGCAGGAGACAGAAACAGGTCCGACAGTGCGGCGCTTGATCGGTCAATTCAATTTATGTCGATGGGATTACCCAACTTATTTCGTTTGCTCTCCATAGAAGTGAACTCGCCTATTTCCACACTGGAAACTTCTCGTGATTTTTCAGCATTCTGTACTCTTGTATCCATTACATTTTCTTTATTTGCGAATCTCTGGATTTGTCGGCGTACAACATTATTCGGAAGTTTGTAAAAAAAACTATTAGTAAATTAATATATCTCAATGTAAAGCAAAAAAAAAACAATAATTAAAAAATTTTTTCAAATATGTTACAATCTCTTAATTAAAATAAGAAAAGCAGAATATGATCTAAAAATTATGTTATCCAATGATTATTTTTATGACAAAGTATGTTTACTAGAAATTTATAACTGAGCCGAATTTATAGATAATTTAGTATTTTGTAATACTAAATAATAACTATAATGTTAAAAAAACAACTTCAGAGACAGTAATATCTTCTAAGTTATTTGAATGTAAATAAATCTCGATTCTTGTAAAAATGTTGTTTGCCGAGTCAAGGTCCTCGCTGGAGCACGTTGGACTTGCGCTTGGATTTACGCCGGAAACACTTGTTGCCCCGTCAAGCTTATCGTGAGCGAGTCCATCGCATGTAAGTGGTTTTGCGCGACTTCCCGACCTCTGTCCGGAACATGTACGCGATTATTTCATAAGTCCGCACAATCGTGTGTGGCAGCGCGTCGTCGTTTTACTGTTCCCCTTGCATCTCCGCATTAATTTTCAGCCATATACTTCTATATAACTTTCTTTTCTCTAATGTGAAGTGACAAGAGCCATTCGTATTCGCACGACCGCGTGTCGCGTTGAATTAGCTAACGTTGATTAACACGCAAGACGATTACATTAGCGTCGCTTCGTGCCGCGTTTCACCAATCCACGTCCTTCACTACTTGAGTAATATAGCGAAGGGCTCGCTACTCAGACAAGTGGTAAAATCCAATTGGTCACGGCCAAGTGTAAAAAAGTTTGGTCCTGCGCACGAGGCTACTTATCATATAAAGTGGCGATTTTATCCCGAATCCCAGGGGAAAAACAGAAACGAACACGTAGGACACAATGAGCGAGGACAAAATTCGCGGGAGAAAATGTCGATATCGGAGCGATTTTAAACGTCGCGTGAATAAAAAAGAGGAGAGTTAATTCTCCGGAGTGTGCGGAGGCCGAAGGTTACGGTGTAGAAAACGCTTCGATGGGGAAGGGGGAGGGAGGAAAGGGAGGTAGCGTTTACTCTCCCAGTAAACAGCCAGCAGCTGTCTACAGCGCGGCGCGTGGGGTTGGCGCGAGCGCCGTACGACAGGAGAGGGCTATCGACCCTATCGACAGCGACGGAGGAACCACGCGGTCTGCTACGTGCAACCCTCTTTCTTTAAGGGCCGCTTTACACTCGCGACACACATACATACATACACGTGTGTCGACAAATCGACTGCAAAGCTCTCCCTCTCTCTCTCTCTCTCTCCGAGAGAGAGTTTTGTCGAGATACGACATTCGAGTCTGAAATTCAATTCACTAGCGTGTTTTTTTTTTGGCCAAGATGAAAGATATTGACACGCGGTTTATTGTGTAGCTGCACGTATCAACATACGAGCGCTGCGTCATATCATGAAATTCAGAGAGTTTGCACACATACATACACACACACATGCCCACACGTACAATACGCAGTAGCTAGTTTCACCGCGAAACGTTAAATTATTCAGAACCTATTGTGCGTATTAATAGCACAACGAATATATTCTTCCTGACTGCGTGAAATAAATTAAATTATAAAATATAATTGTACAATTATTTACTTGATTTGCTTGATTTAATTAAATCTTTGTGAATGTGTTTGCATTACTATAAATAAGATTATATTACAACATACGTGCCATTTCTACAACGTAAAAGCTTTTCGTTTGCAAAAATTGAAAGCGTTCTTTTTCATTAAAGTTACTCATTCCGATTCTCCTGGAATACCTGGAAGGTAAAGCCTCCATTTCGCTCTTACACGCAGAATTCTTACGAATTGCGAAGTTAACAGCTAGTTACTTGCAAGTCTCGTCGTCCGCTCTGCACGAACGTAAAGCAACAGGTAAATGCTCTAGCATCGCATGTCACAATTAATTTCTTTTGCGTCGAGACAGCGCGAACGCGACCGATTAGAGAGATTATAACATAAGATAGAGATCTTAATAGTTGAAAAGAGTATTTAATTCGCTGTAACGCGACCTTCCACTTTTGCAAAATGGCACACTTTCTCAGAGCATTTTCCAGCTTATGTAGGATAATCTAAACCTGTCGTGCGATTGCACAATTTTTCAATAGAACGATTCAATTCATTCAAATGCTGTGTTTCAAATGATTTATGTATTGATATCTTCTAAACCCTTACCTTATGGTGGATAAGCGATATGTCTTTTGGAGTGTACGATGATACACCTCAGTCTATGCGACGACAGCAGCGAACATGAAGGCGCTGAGCTCTCTTTGTCCTCGTCGGAATCCGCGACGCGAACGATCATCATTCCGCGCGACACCATCGCGACCGATTATTTATTTATTTATTTTTTCTTTTAAGCAAACTTGCTACGCAAGAAAAGAATCACGTAGATCTCGATCACGTAGATCGCACTACAATTAAAGTCACAATTATCGCGAATTTTCCGTAATTCGCTTTAACAAAACGTTTCCGTTTTCTTCGCCACCCCGTCGTTGATGTCTGAAACATCACACGATTTACAAATCAGCAAGCGAATTTAACTTTTTCCTTAACTATTAAAGAGCTAAGCGAGCGTCGCGCAATCTTGTCTCTTGATACTACAAAGTTCCAATGAGTTAACGCAAGTTAGTTTAAGTTTTGATGATTGAACCGCGCCAAGCGATTATAAGTGACGCTTATTCTCTTTCCCATTTAACCCTTTTTAATCAGAATTTAATTAATAAATAAGTCGGTTTTTAAACAAATTTTTAGATTTTTTTAATGGAAGAAACAATACAAATTAAGAAGAACGAAAAAGCGAGAAAACAGACAGAGAGAAAGAGAGAGAGAGAGAGAGAGAGGAAGAGAATTAGAGATTTATTTTTCAATTAATTTAAATTTTAAATATTCAAACCGTTTAAAATATTATAGAAATTATGACTTATCTTTCGATTAATCTAAGTCAAAGTTTTTAAGAGGATTAAAATTTCTGTTAAACAATTAAATGCGTAGCTAACTAACATTTTTTAATTAAATGCTAATCTTTGGATTTGAGTTTGCAACAGAGTTCAGCTTTTTATTAAATTTAAAATAGTTTAAAATACGCTTCACCAAAATGATGAAAGAAACGTCGTCATTTGGTTACGAAGCATTACAATGCACAAATTCTCATTCGTCATTAACAATGATAGCTCGCCGACTTTCATTCGTAACCCAATTATGCTCTGCTGACTATCACACAACGTGGCACCGATTCAAACGATCATTATCACTCTTTGTACCTCACGTGAAAGTCTTTAAACGCAGATTATCCCTTTCGGTATCTCGTAAGTCCCGCAAGTACTGTCAGGTGTTCTTGCATCAGCTGCAGAACTATCAGAATTAATCTCCATGTATTTGCCTACGTAAATAACTAGAATTATTAAACAAAAAGATATATTCTGACATAATATTCAACAGCCAGCATCACTTTTGATCAATAATGATTACATATTATTTATCTCTCTTTCTCCCATTTTCTCTCCCCCCTTCTCTCTCTCTCTCTCCCTACTCTCCCTCTCCCTTCCCCCCTTCTCTCTCCATAAAATTTTTCTAAAGCTTTTCGATTCTTATTGTTATATTAAGTTTAAAGCAACCTGAACGAATAAACAACGCAATATTGCCACAGTCTCTTACGAGAGCAACAATTACGCGTTCAAGAAGCATGTTTTCATCACACTGCTGATCAATAACAATCACACATTATGCTCATCAGCTCTCTCATTCACGACCCTGTGAATCTCCCGCGCGAAGCATACTGCAGCTGCATACAGCAATGCATACTCCAGCTGCGAGATCATCACTCTCAATACTCTCACCTCTAATAGCTTTGCTGAAAATGACTCGAAAACGCGCGACAGCATTTTTCTCCTCCCTCCCCCCCTCTCTCTCTCCCTCTTTTCAGCATCCTCTGTTCTCAACGTACCAGATATTCCGTCCGCTTGTCAGCAGGGATACGGTAATATCATCAGCCTGGGAAACGGGTCGCGCTCTTCACTGGAGCACTGTTTATACGGCAGGTTGAACGCCATGGTCACTGCCGTCGAAAGCGAGGAAGAACGGTCCTCAGCGACGGCGTGTCCTTCGTCCTGTCGATGCTGACGGTGGCGGTGGCGGTGGCGGTCGCGGTGGCGGCGACGGTGACGGTAACGATGACGGTCTTGTACTCTTTCCACGGTGTCCTCGCGGAACGCGGCCTCATCGGGGGGAGGACGCAGCACAAAGGACGACGGCCACTTGTACGCTCATCTCCGCGCGCGAGCAATCTCCTCTTGCCGCCGATGTATGCGCGCATCCAGAGTATACGCCAGCCAGCCTTGTTCTCTTGTTGGTCACCCCGCGGAGCTTTCCTCACCCCCTTTCTCCGCCTCCCCCTCCCCTTCTCTCATCTGCCCACCTGTCCACCTTCAACCCCCTCGCTCGATCGCGCTCGAGCGCGCGTCCCTCTCGCTCTTAAGCCGCCCCGATCTGAAGGCGCGAAACTGCAACACTCCGGGGGTTGCGCTCCGCACGATGACGCGCCTCTGGAGGCTCTCGCGACACTAAACTACCCTTGGAACTCGCACCACGCCCTCCGCGTAGGTGGCACCACCGCTCGCTAACCCCCTTTTCGAGGCCGAAGCACCTGCTATAAGTCTCATTCCGAGAGTCCTTCGAATGATTCTTTCTCTTCTATTAACGTGACGGTACTTTTCCTCTCGCTCTCTTTTTCTGTTTTTCTATCTATTCTTTACTTGTTATTCCTTTACAGGTTTCTTTCCAACTCGAACTTGGTCTTCTTATAGTAAATATATTTACAAAAAAATAAAATTCAGAAATAAAAAAAATAACTATTTATGTAATAAATTTAACAATTGGATTAACATTACAATTAAAGAATAAAGATATAAACATAATAATTTTGAAATATATAAATATTTAAAAAAATCAACTTTGATTAAATCAACAATCTTTTCTCAAAATATTAGAACATTTTATTGAAAACATCCAAGAGATTGTAAAGGATGAAAATGTAAAATAGAATTAATACTAATTTTAACAAAGCATTCTGTTTTTAATATCTATAGTATATTCTTATTTATTTTGCTATAAATAAGTTTTTTAAAGATTAAATATATAGATATTTATTTTACATTTTTAGTATAAATTTTTTTGGTAAGAAATTCTAGTTTTGCTAAGCTCGATCCTTTTGATCGATCTCGATATTTACAAAGACATTATAGGCGCGTTTATATAATATGTTTACTTATAAACATTGGATTTATTTAACATTTGTTGTTTCTGAAAATTATTTAGAATACTTTCGTAAGTATAATTGTTTTTGTCGCAGACTAAACTATTCGTCAATAGCGTTGTCTATCAGTTTGATATTTACAGATATGTACATAAAATTTACATCTATCTTTTCTCGAAAGGTGCCTTCGTTGCGAATTTCGTTGCTAGACAACAAACCTACAGAGTATATATACAATATTACGATCAGTAGGGAATATATACATATATATAATCCTTTAATTTTTAACTAGTTTTCTCTAACAAAATTCAAGAGATAGTTAATTACGAAATAACACTAAAAAGATTTGTAACTCCGTTCTGGCGAAAATTAAAATCCAGGAGTATAAACGCATTTAAACGGAAGTAAAAGGATGTGCGCTATTTTTCTTTTATTGCTAATCTTCGTCGGGTGACGGCCAACACTCCGCGTTTTTGAAATCAAAGGCCTGTATATCGTGTTCGTCGGCGTCGTCGGTGTCTTCCAACGCAATCTCGTAATTCGAGTAGTTGGCGTAATGCTATTCCTCGTCAACAATTTCGCAGCTGTGGTACTTGCTGGAGGAGTCTAGCCAGCTCTCGACGCCGCTGGAAGCCAGATCATCGCAGGACGGCAGCTCCGGGAGGGGCTCCAGCTCCATGCTCGGCGCGCTCTTCTTCATCAAGTTGTTTGCCGCGCGTTCCTTGGATTTCGCGCTGCTCACTGAAATTCAACGAAATTGACCATTCAATGAGACAATCGCGATCGATATTAACTATTAACATAAAATTACTCGACCGCGGAGTAGAAAGATAATTTCTTTTTGTTTTCAAATTTCTTCAGTGTGCATAAAACAGTAATTTGATTAGTTTAATTTGGTTTTAAGTTAATAAATACCATTGTTAGCCGTCGATTTGGTTTCATTCTTGCGGATCAGCGCCTGTTTATAAGCTCGAAGGCTTCTATACTCACCGCTGATCCCTAAACCGGCGCTAATAGTAGGAAGACGAATGTCCAAGTGTGATCCTTTGTCCGTAATTATCTAAAATTTCAATAAAACTAAAATATAATTAAAGAATACAGGTAAGATTTTATGTTTAAAAATTATAATTGATATTAAATATTATTACATAGTATTTTTTAAATGTTTAAATTAACTTTTTTGTACAATTAATAAAAATATACACAGAAAAATTTGATTTATGTAATAACAGAGAGAGAGAGAGAGAGAGAGAGAGAGTTTTAAAATTATTTTAGTCTAATTTTAAATTAAAAATAATTGTTGTGTAATTTGTCTTAAATAATACCTTATTATTCATTGCATACAGCTTTGTTGCGATATCTCGTGCCACCAGCGTAGTTAAGACGGTTGCAAGATAAGTTTCCTTTACAAGTAGATACTCCAAGGCTGTTCGCTGCCAATACAAATACCTGCAGGAACTCGCTGCTACGATGGACACCTAAGACATTTAATTTGATACAGAATTTTTATTTAATTTGATTTGTAATGATTAGAATAGAAAATTAATCGAGTTAAGTCGTACCTTAAATTTTTCGTCAATGGAAGCTCGAGAGCTCTCGAATTCCGGTGAATCCAGAAACTCACAGGGGAGTATCGGATGCAAAAAATTGGTATCACTCAAAACGTTGACTTTCCCAGTGAGCAGCAAGCCCAGTCTGTCCGTTCTTGTTAGATTCTGCATCGCGTACGCCTCGCCAGCATGAAGGGACATTATCGTCGCGAATTCTGGGGATACTAATCGCTTGAATTGTATCCGTGAGACCTACGCGAGTTAAAAGTTGAAAGAAAGAAGCAAATAAATCCCGCAGCGCTTTGTAATTCTATCTCTTTCTTGCGACAAACTTACTTTGAAGGGATAAAAAAGCGTGTGATAAACTTCTTCCAATTCGGGATCAAATCTGATGGGTCTCATTTGATAAACGATATATACTAATTGGCAGATATTGAGCAATAAAAAACAGAAGTTCCAGGTGAAGATATCTGGTGCGCAGATTACGTGCCAAGCCCATCCTGATAGTAACATAAAGCCTAGAAAGAGACAGTGGGTCAAGAAAGAATTTAATAATTATATTTTAAAGAAATGAGCAATTTTAGAAATCTTTATTAATAAAATTTCTCTCTGTTGTAAAGTTTATTCCACATGAAAATGAACGACATACCAAATAGCACAGAGAATTCAAAAAGAATTCATTCGTATATTCAGTCGTATGTCATCAATTCTGAGTTTATTTTCAGGTGCAAAAATAATTTTTTTTTAGAACTTTTAAACAAAGCAAAAATTTTTTTTGCATCTGAAAATTAACTCAGAATTGATGACATACGGCTGAATTCTTTTTGATTACTTTGTGCTATGTGGGATATCTTTATAAACTACTGTACATTCTTTTCATCTCGCTTTCATGATGTGGATGATTGAGTAATTACTTACCTATGATTAGCACCGAGTGCATGAATAAGATCCCCTTTCTCGAGGACGGCGCCGAGTACGACAGTGCGAAGCAAAAATTCGCCAGCTGGAACAAAATGTGTTGGGGCTGTTGCCACAAGCAGAGCGCAGGGTTCCCTTGAAAAGGAGAAAGAAGAATCGATGGATTGATTTATTGCTTTTCATAAACTTTCTATTCACATAAACGCGACACTATTTCTACCGCGTGCAACGTCCTTTCATTCATGTGACGGGCATCCCCTTATTTTATCACGCTTATACATCTTTATAAAAAAGAATTGGAAAAACTGCTCGCTTTGTTTGTTTTTAAGAAATACAAATTTTTATCAATACAAAAAAATAAATCCTGCTTTAAATGCAATAACCGCTTTTCCGAGACTCACCGATAAAAGCTGTGTTGTTGTACGACGGTAAAGGATCGTGACCTAGCCCGGGACTCATTTTCCTCACAACAGATATACGCGATTACGGATTAAAATACGGATTATTACAGGTACGAGAATCCACTGCTCATGGCCAGTGATATTTCTCATACGGGAGCTCGATGTGTTTTCACCCCTCGCACATGCGGATACTGAAACAGCTCCCTTTAGGGCGCATGTGCTGGTTGTCAGGATCGATATTGTTTCCCGTCGGTCCGAAAGGATTAAATGTGGTAATTTTACAATACCGATTTGCGATAAAGAAAAATTATACGATAATGTGCAGCAATATATATATATATATATATATATATATATATATATATTGTATATATATATTTTTTTTGTTTAATAGATATTGTATCCAAAATTAAAAAAGACACAATTAAAAAAATGTGATTTTCGAGTTATTACCATAAATAAATTAAATATTATTTTATTAATTAGTTAATATACCTATAATTAAGAAATTTAATTTTTTGAGTTGCATCACTTTTAAAGTGGATGCGTGATATACATACATACATACATATATATATATATATATATATATATATATATTAGGGTGGACCGAAAAAAAATTTTTTGAAAATCGATTAGTAATACCTCTTAAAAGTTGATTATGAACCTTAATATAGTCTGGGTAAAATTTTATCGAAATCGATTAACATTCTTAGGTTGCCCCTCAACTTTGAAATTAGTAAGTTTATGCATTTCGTAATTTTTTAGCAAAAAGAACTTTTTCAGACTGCACATTAAAACCGTGTTATGCACAAATCGTAAAGATGTGTGTTTAATTATACAAATATAGAAATGAGTTAAACTGCGGTAAAAATATATTGGGCATTTTATTATTCGAGATATTTCCTTTTTACATTGAGATTAGAACAGTACACAACAACATTAAGTGCACCAAGTACAGGCATTAATGTGCGTCTAGCCGATTGAAAATATACGAAGTTTTACCTACATCGAACATTGATACAACGTAGACTCACACCGATATTTGAAAATATCGAAGTTTGAAATATCGATGTAAAATATCGATATTGTATCGCCATCCATACACAAAAATGAACCGACCCGGCTAAGAACGACGTGCAATTTCCTTAGAACATATATTACTGGA